TGCTGAATGACTTACAAACGTTCTTTATGTGCTCTTGCCATAATAGCTTGCTGTCAATTGTCACCCCAAGACATTTAGATGATGATTTGTACTCAATAAAGCTATTACCAAAGGCCAAGCGTGGCAGGGGGCCAATAAAGTTCTGGCTAGAAATTATCAGGGCTTCAGATTTCGACTCCTGAAAGAGTCCGACCGGTTCATCTCGTAGTCCATCGTAAAGGTTATCCTTCATCATTTTTTTATATGGATTGGATGGTCCTGTAGACTCGATGTCTTGCGAGCTCATGTCAGAAGCATAATTCCCCTCCTGACTGAACTAATGAAGAGCCCATGACAGAAAACCTCAAAAACCTGTCTTTAATTTCACTTGAGATCTCAGTGGGTTGCATTATTGTCTTAAATAAACTAGCTTCATTGTCATTTAAAAGACTAGGAGTGTGCCCATGATCATTTATATACCCGCCGCCTATGCTATACGGCAGTTCAAGGTTTCTCTTTGTTAGTCTCTACGATCGATAAACTGTTAGGCTCTGTATTGCCTGAACTCTAATTGGCTAGTAAAATCTTAATAGATTAAAACAATTCTGCAGTAACTGAAATAATCCGGGCAAAGCAAACCTCGTCTCTGAAAGAAACCCAGCAAAAAGAAGTTAAGGCCAGGCCAACTAGCCAGCCAATACAACCGATGTTGTGTGTAGAAGAGCCAATCAGTTTAAAAGGCTGACGGATGCGGCTATAGATGGCGTCACCTCTGCGGCTGAAAAAAGAACGGATTTTGGCCAACTTAAGATGACCTCATACTTCTGCCGGCGTCCATTATCATCATAGTTTTAAATCTGTTACTGCTTGAACTGTGTTCCCGTTTGGTCCCGATCCAAGTAACTTTTCTCAATTAAGATCACGGCATATGTTCTGTTTGTGTAAGTAGCAATTAAATAATCTTACTGAAATTATACGAGGCATTTGAACTCGTTCAAATGTAGTGAAGCCTTATATGGTCGTAGAAACGAAAGGGGGATCTTAAGCAAACACGAACTACGTAATGTGATGCGAAAAGCGCGACAACAATTTTACTTACTTAGTTTTATCTCTTGATCAATGACGCATTAAAAAAAAACACCATATTGTTAATGATTGCTCTAATTTCAAACAGGCCTTCGTAGCCAACCTATATGCTGGCCTTGAAAATATTAATAGATCCGTCGGTTTGGCCAAGCTGCAATGGAATCAATGGAGAGGCTATTTTGGAACTCACACGTATGCACATCCACCACAAAACCACTAAGAAACATTATAACAAGATTGAAACAGAGCTTAAAAATATACTTTTAAACTTCTCGAAAGACATCTGGAATTTCAACCACAGCCTCCTAGATACATAACACGCCTTAAAATCCTTAAATAACCCTTCACTTTCTATATCTCCTCGACCCGATTTGACTGTTGTTTGATTTATGAACAATGAGAACAGCTAGAAGTGGGCTTTAAGATAAGACTGTAACGGAAGCTTATGGAATCTGGGAAATTGCTTATAATCACACGCCTTACGAGGCTCGTTTACAAAGCAGGAAAACCGCGTTTTGAATGAGAAACGTACCCCACTGCTAGGTAGTCCGGAGAGTTGATTGAAGTCGATTCGCGAAGGCAATTCAACGCAGCGCAGTTAAAATGGTGTTTAGGTGTGTAATCCTTTGTTTGGCCTTGGCCATATCTTTCTGCCAGACAGAATCAAAATATCTTCTTCATCCGAAGTTCAGAGGGACGTTTATGGAGAAAAATTTTGACGAAGCATCAGGTAAGGTCACTGATAGTTCTAAACAAATTTCGTTCCAGCCTTTATGTTTGTCTCGGCTGGTATGATTTCGATCGCGACGAAAAGAAACCGAAGCAAATTAACAGTCTTCTTTTTAAGACTTTTTTTAAGACACGACTATCAGTTTACCGAGGCATATAAATAGTAAATAAAAACAGCCTAGTTGTTTGTAGTTCCATAACTTGGGATTTGAGTTCCTTAGTTTCAAATCTCGACCTAACGAATAAAAGCTGGACTCATTACATTGTTTCCTTCGTTGGATTTAAAACACAGACGTAAAGCTTCATTCACAATTCATTACCTTCTCTTCGACCGACCTTATTCAACCTGGGTCAGTACTTGAGTAGAATTAAATTACATGTTTATTTATCTTTTGGGAAAAGTAAAGGCTAGAAATCAAAAAGCTTTGAGGCTGTCAGAGACATTGAAGTTCGTTCAAAAATTATATTTAAAAAAGAAACGAAAGAAACCGAATCTTTGTATTTTATCCACCGCCATTGTCGATATTCGATGTTTAAAAAAGAAAGGTCAGATTTCAAGCCTTGATTAGCCACACGAAGCTACTAGCCTTCATGGAAATCCCTATATTAAGCTGATAATCTCTTAAGCTTAAGTTATTAACAGCGAAAATAGGATTTGCGAAGTTATCTCGTTAATTCTAATTATCTTCTCGTAAACGAATCGTACGGAGGTCTGTTTACCGTGAATCTGGCATCGCAGAAAACGTACGGTTTAGGAGAAAGTATATTGTGAAAGGAAAGATGGAAACGCACAAACGAGAAGCAAACGCACCAACAAATAAAGAAGCAAAAGAAATAAAATGGAAGATTTGTTAAAAATCCACACGGCAGAAGACAATATTCATGTTAATCTGACAACATTAAGAAAGGAACTGACAAATGAGTTTCAGTAACATTCATCCGGGACAATAGAACATAACAGTGAGGATAGAATCCGGAGAAATCTAGAATCCGAAGAGATAACCACGGAGCGCGCCGTGTATCTCCACATAGCTAGACCAATGGGAAAACTTCGTGTTTTTAGCTTGATAATGCAGGAGTTCTGTCGTAAGAATTTGCGAAAGGAATGACATTAAGTATCCCTCTCCTTTTGGGAATTGGAAAACTTTAGTATAGGCGAAGTATATTACAGCGCATTTACTTCTGAATCACCAGTGCAGCTGATACAGAAAACCTGAGGTTATCTCTCTCAAAAGTCGGCTTTTAAACCTCATAACCGGAAATATCTTTCATGTGGTGTGCTGAAAGGATAGATTAACAAATAAGGACTGAGAATGCGAGAGAAAATGAAATTTTTTGCACGTATAGCTTTATCTCATGGGTTATGGGAAATTTATATTTTGAAAGAGAGTTGTGAGAGGGTAAGCTCTGTTACTGACGACAATGCATTTTGGAACTTGTGTCGCAAATATGATACCTCCTCGTCTGTCTGGTTGCACGACTACGACGTAGTGCTGGACATTTACGCGACCAGTTACTTTTTTCCCTGCATGCCTTACGCTCCAACTGATGAGGGATGGAAGAAAAAAGAACACGAGTGCAAAAGAATAATTAACTGAAAACTGTCGGTTAGGACAAGATTATATCTCGTGGACTTGATTTTAAACATACTACGGAAAATTATCATTTTAGCACTAAATTACCCTTTAAAAAATGCGCGGCAAAAAAAAGTATGTGTTAAAGATAAGATAAAACTTGCTCAGTGTGGAAATAGTCCCTCTTTCGCGAAAGATTGAGCAGCCGGGGTGGGAAGCGGAGATATGGAACGAAAATCAAAGGGAGATGTCGTGGGTGAGAAACGAATCAGGGAGCTAAGAGAATAGCATCTGCGGAACGGTGCATCGCGTGGAAACGACCTTTGTATGTCTAAGTAGTGAGTTGAAGTTGGACGTACAAGATGGAAGGATTGGTGTTGCGGGGAGGGAGGGACACGCAGGGCGGGTAGATAATTGAAGCATGCGTAACCAGTTAACAAAGCTTGAGACATTTGACTGAGTTAGAACCACGCTTCGAGAGAAGTGGAAAGAGGAGAAGTAGATGAAGAAGAAAGGATGGAAAGGGAAAATCTTGGGTGTGGGACGAGAATGGCTAAAAAAAAATTCCCTACTTAATTATTTATCGTGTAAAATTCACTCGTGACCTAACTTTCTCTTCTAACCACAGGCCAGTGTCAGTATTTTGACCAACACTATAGTGAAGGACAAGTCATGGTTCCAGATGAAAAATGCAACTACCAGTGCACCTGTTATGTGTCTGAATACTTCGAAGGATTTTTGTGCGAGCCACTGTGTTTGACGTACATTGACTATGTTGAATGCATGCCAGGATATGAGAGAAAAAGCCGCAGAGTACCAGCGGGGCCTTCAGAGTTTGGGTGCAATTGCGAAGTGTTAGAGTGCGTTCCATCCTTCGATATTGAGTCATTGATCAACCTTTGAAAGTCACAAGCGATGTAATTCTTTGATACGTGAGAGCATTAGGTATTAATGAACCCTAAGTAATGACAAGAAAAAGTGTTCTTTTCCTCATTTAACGATTTGGAACTTTTTATGATCCGATAAAACACGACAATTTTGTAACGCTTTTAGATGTTCTTAGGGACCTCGAACTCCTCTATCTACTTTTCAGACGAATTTTAGATTGATCAGAGGACAAGTCAATAGACAATGTAGAACGACAGTGTAGGTTTTAACGCCTCTTTGAACTTTATTAAACATTTTAAAGTCATTTTTAGTTTCCTGTTTTCTAAAGTTGCATCTAGTTTGTCTCTTCAATCCACCCAGTTGTTCTACGCCACGTTGCTCTAAAAAAGAGTGAAGAAAAACAGCAATAGCAGCAACAAAAGTTAACCATCATTACAGATTTATCATTACAGTATATGATTTCCTGTCATCTTCTACTCAAGAATAGATAGCCGGGACGGTCATCGGCACAATAAGTGCCAATACTTCCCTCCGTACTGAGAGGACAGCCACACCCAGTTTGGAAAAGGGGTACATACCTAGTGCATGGAGTTCAAAAGACAAAGTACAAACTGATAGTTGACCATATCTTAAGGGGTCTGGCCGTGGTTCTCACCCATTTCAGCACAGTTCTAGTAGAACTTGCAACGGAGCTAAGCACGATTCGGGGCACAATCAGCTTTGACAAACTGAAAGCTAATTATTAAGTTTTATTATCATTTTGTCTCAAAAAAAGCTTCAAGTTGTACCTTTAAGATGTTGACGTCGAACCCCTGGACTCGTCGTCTTCGGTTTTCTCGCCTGTAGAAAATGTATAATTACCACTTTATCCTCTCTTTTGACCTTACATCATTAATGGCTCTAGGGATAGATAATGGTCTAAAGAAAATTACCTGCGGTATCTTTTTTAGCGTCTCTTTGCCAAGGCCAAAGTCGATCATCTGTTTTGAAAAAAAGAAAACAAAGAAAACTGGAAGAAAGGCCATTTATCGGTAACCATGTGCGATTGTCAAAGTGAAGCTTTCAAAAAATAATATTACAGATACCTTTGATGTTATCGCATTATGCTATTATATAAATGATATTATCTCTCATGGTATGAGATACATGATTTTATCTCATTATAGCTCATTAAATGACAAAATGGGCCATAGCCGGTCATCTTGTCATATAACGAGAAACAAAGAGAACGTCAAAATTGCACAAACCAGTTCTAAACTACATTGTAAAACAAAAGATACATCATTATTGATACTGAGCACTCTGTTCTAGGCTAATTAAAGATGATGATCTTTAGAGGATTCACTGCTGCATCTTTTTTAGTGTCTCTTTGCCATGGCCAAACTCTCTCACCTATTTTGCAAGAAACAAAATGAGACCTCATCATGACAGCTGAGAAAATTTAACAAATAATCACGCGCTCAAGTATGTTAATGATGTGAAAACGTAACGAACCTCAGGAAAACAGCCATTAAAGTAACTCTTCAACCCTAGTATTAAAGATTTTCCACCAAAAACAACATCTGAAACCTGAACAAGTTCTAGTGCATACCTTTATTTCCGTCATTTGAATCTTGCCATGGCCAAACTCGCTTATCTGCTGTTTGTATAGCAACCGAAAGTAGGAGTGTCATTAAGAACCTTAATATTAAGATAAAGTCACCATAAGCAACAACAGCAGCAACTATACTAATAACAGCAATGATAACCGCAACAACTTATGCAAGAGAGAATTGTAACTAGAACTTTACAACTATTCTCAACACGATTCTTCAAATGAAGGGATATAAACATCTAAACAACTTTATCCACAGTACCTTCTTCAACGTCCCTTTGCCATGGCCAAAGTCGATTGTCTGCTGGAAATTTGAAGGAAGACAGAGCTAAATCCGCATGTATTTGGCAAATAACTGCATTTAAGTGTCAAAGTACAGCTTCCAACAATAATATTCTCACGTACCTTCTTTGCTATCCCTATTCCATGGCCAAAATCGATCATCTGTTGTAGGACAAAACAAAAGTGACTGGGAAACATTTCAAAGCTAAAACAGTATTTAACAAATAAATATTCAATGGTATGTTTTCCAGTGTCCCTTTTCCAGGGCCAAATTCGATCGTCTGTTTTAAGACAAAACAAAGACAAAAAGAAAAAAAAAGAAAGAAAAGAAAAGGACAAAGCTAAAACACAATTTAACGATAGCAATGCAGATTTTGTTGAAATGAGGCTTTCAAAATAAATATATTCTCGGATACCTTCTTTCTCTTTGGCATCGCTTTGCCATGGCCATAGCCGCTCATCTAGTCATATAATAAGAAACAAAGAAAACACTAAAATAACACAATTTGGTATTGAACCACACTTAAAGATATATCGCTATTGGTGCTGAACTCTCCGTTGTAGACTAATTGATAACAAAGACACATACTCAGTAGTTTTATGTCAGCTTAAGGATATGTCAGGGTAGAATACGCCTGGCACTGAACACAAAAGGCACTCACAGCTACTGGAACTGGTACAGGCTAAGTCGCATTCACATTATGACAAGCTTCCCTGAAAACGTTTTCCTCGGCGGAGGATTCCCAGTAATAAGATTGATTTGAATCATTTATATGTCACCTTCGTCATTGCTCCAAGGCCCTGATCTCTTACCTTGATGTTTTTTTGGATGTTTCCTCAATGGACCTGTTATCAAAACAAGATAACTATTTCATTACCACTCCTATCCTGTTTATTGCATCCGCTAACAAGGTGGCAAAATGAGTGCGTATTTTCGCTATAGGTGAGCATCTTTCAAACATGGGGAAAAAAATATTTCCACCGTTATATTCCCTCTGCGCCATTATTTGAAATTCCAACTGATGTCTCTAACTGCCACCACTAAGAAAGTCTGTGGAAGCTTCCTCCATAAAATATCGTTTTCTGATGAAAATCAGCATAAGATTTATTCATGCAGTTGAGAGTAACAAAGACAATAACTTACCCCAACGAGGATTTGGTGACCTTTTTTCCAAAGATCCTGTGGTAAAAATGTTGAACTTGGATTATCATGCTTGAAGCATTTTTGTAATGAAATATGCTGACAGACCAGATAAGTATATTTTTTGCTCATCCCTGGACTCACCGAGAACCACTGAAAACGCCAAAAGAACGCATGACATCACCAAAAGCAACTCAAGTCTCATATTTGCTTTCGTCGCGTTTTCGATGTCTCTGAAGAGTAAGGATTCACGTTTCAACGTTTTATGTTTAAAACAATGAGCGACCTGCACAACATTTTAAGTAGAGTAATGATCCTCACAGGTGAGTTGCAATTTAAGGAAAGAAGCCTGAAAAAAGAAAAAAATCCTGGCCTCGACGGGATTTGTACCTCTGCATCTGAGATAAATTTACATGGGGAAGATGAATCTAATTTTTAAGGATGGTGCAAACTGACAGAATGTGTAACTGGTACCTGTCATCTGAAAGAGGAACCGTTTACTTTTTTGTGCGAGGTCGCAGACAGACTGTGAGGACAATCGAAACAATAAACTCATAGAGATAAGAACAATGAGAGCTTTTTTCTTGAATGAGCAGAAAGGGGCTTATTTTACCGACTAAACTGATGAAACAATTGTTTCTTTAATATCAGATTCCGGAGAAAAGGCATCTCATGTAAGGCGTACATGAGAGGAGTTACGAAGCTTGATCATGCACTAAAGGCAATTTTTTAAGCATACGAGTAGGTTTTCAGGACTCCGAACAAGTTTCCATTCTCGATGATATCCAGTTAAGAGTGTCCCACATAAATATTCCAAATAAAAATATGCTTAGAATAGATTTTAAAAATACTTACCGGTTGAAATAACAAATTCTGAGAGTTCCACTTTCAGAGCCGATCTACACAAGACTCGAAGTGAAACTGAATTTGTCCACACCTGCCTTTAACGTGCGTATTTGACCGCGCTTCTTACCTAAATTAGTAGCTCAAATATTGACTTTCTTGCCCAGTTTTTTGGTCAAAAATAGTGGAAGTGTTTGTTTGGGAGGGAAATGGGAAATTTTCACCTTTATGATTAAAATGCTTTTTAACGAACACCATCACCTTGTTTAACACAGGTTTCGCACTGGAAATAAGTATCTAACCAAACTAAAAATACCTGGGAACGAAGCGACTCATTTCAGGGTTTAGAAAACACTCTTAATAGAATGAATAACTTAAATGTGCTTAATGAATGTTTGACATTTTTTTTCCTTTTTTCGGAAACGCGAGAGGGAAGACAGTTGCTTGGTTTTAAACAAATATTTTTTTAACACAAAAAGATTAGATATTGTCTACTGACTAACATGTGGCGTTAAACAGAAATGGAACTCGGCAAACGTATACTTACCGAAATTTTGAGATATCTCGAATTACCGTGCGGAAATGACTGTTTTCTAAGAGCAAATACAAATTTTTGAAACAGAGAAATCCCTTAAAATATTCATTAAGACAATGCTATTTGGATACAAGAGAAATCGAAATGACAAATGGAGAATGAATTGTTGGATCCGTTGTTAGATGGGCAAAATTTTTCACGCTGAGCAATTTTTGTTGTTTTACGTAAAAAGCAAAGAGGATTTTTATTCTTTTATTCCAGTTTTGATTAATTGTTTTAATAGGAAACCTTGCATTAGCCAGTTCAATAATGAAAACAAATAAAACGAGCAAATATTTTAATAAGTTTCTACCTCAGTTTTTGTGCAATTGAGAACAATAGAAACACATCGATCCTGCAAGTTGCGTCCGTTTTAGTTTAAAAAGGGGTGCAGGCAGCCAGCATTTATGTGTTAACTTTTTTATGTTGCCTTTGAAACCTTGCATTTGAAACCTTTCGATGCCATTTCTAAGTTATAGTACAAGCTCTAAATCGAAAATGAAATCGTGAACCGATTGCGAAATCCTAAACACTGAAATGAGCTCATTACGAGAATTCACCTGGGTACGAGTACAAATTTAGGCTCGCAATTGAACTGTCCATTTTCTTCCGCGTTTTATAATTAGTTTCCAAGTTATCACCAACTGGTTTACTTTTCTGTTAGATTGATTGCGAAATTTTCCAATCTCTATATTTATTTAGCCTTCCTCGTTCGGTTTCATTTTCAGTTGTGCGTTTTGTTATGAATGTTTAGTTAGTCTCAAAAAATAACGGAGCATTGCAAGGGTCAAATCCAAGTGTTTTCATTTATAAGAGACTCAAAACTTGTTTAAAAAAAACCCAACGCTAATTCGTGTGGGTGTTAAAATCACCGCATTCTGGTCCTGCTTATGTTTATCTACGCCTGGATTAGTGATTCTCTCGTATTTCCGTTCAATATTCTTATGTAAATAGATCGTCAGTTATTGATATGAGGGGTGATACCTGATAATTGTCAGGTGACAAAACGAGGGCACAACATAAAAAGATGAAGTTAATGGTGTGGAAAACGTTTTCTGTGACACCAAATTAACTCACACAAGGTCTCTGAAATTCCGGTTTTAATGCTAACAACTTCACTCGCTTCTTGCGACAACAACAACAACAACAACAAAAAAAAAACAAGAACGTCCCCGAAACGTTCTGCACATGGAAAACTAATCTGAATAAGGCGAGGCCGCCAAGTCACACTCGTCATAATTGAAATCAGGATCGTTTGCCCCAATAACTGACTGATGGCGAAGCAGACGACGCTGAACACAAGTTCCCATCAACCTAAAGGAAAGGAAATTTGTGTGTAAACATTTCTCTCGGGCAACTATGATAGGAAATCATAAGAAATGACTAAAATATTNATGGTAATAAGGGTAACACTTGCGAAGCGTACAGGTGTTTCAAGTGAGCATGTTTCAAGTAATTGATGCCCAGAATTGTTACCTAGAAGGTTGATAGCGTGTTAAGATGTTGGTTGTAAACTTTCAACAAAACGCTCTTGTAGTAGAATGAAGTTTAATAATCATAGTCGTTGCATGTAATATAAAGCAATCTATTCTTGGTTTAAAAACTACATCTTTCTAAAATGTATTGTTTATGTCGGTTCATAATTGAAATCAGGATCGTTTGCCCCAATAACTGACTGATGGCGAACCAGACGACGCTGAACACAAGTTCCCATCAACCTAAAGGAAAGGAAATTTGTGTGTGAACATTTCTCTCGTGCAACTATGATAGGAAATCATAAGAAATGACTAAAATATTTAAGTACTTTTTAGTTTCTCTTTGGTAAACCATAATGTGAAAATTACCTTACAAGTCTTTTAAACATCAGTCTAGACACCAATAAATTTTCAGACAAATTTGTGAATAGAGTTTACTTGTTAATGGACGTACAGCTCAATGTCGATTGATCAATAATGCATACGAAACTTCTGAAAATGGATTATCAGTTATTTTATTCTATCTAAGTAATGCAGCTATACGTTACTTCAACTTTTTTCCTGTCGTTAATAATAAAAAAGCAAAGGTAAAAAGAATTAGTTCATGATCATTGATAATTCAATATGTGTACACGTATACAATGATATTTAAAAAAATACTCATCTATTTTGCTACTTATGAGAAATTTCTTGTTCTGACATTTTTTGGATCAAGATTAATGGTCAATTCTGGACGTCTATTAAAGGAGATTTGAAAATTATCAAGAGTTTAGGGCAGAGATAAAAAACTTGAGAACCTGACCAGAGAAAACCGTCGCCAGAAAAAGGAGTGACAACAAAGTGAAACCCTTCAGCATTTTGCCTGATAATATGAATTTAAAAATGGCATTTTCTGTAATCTTGTCAAGCTGGCTTAAAATAATTTATCGTTATTAATGATTTGTGTGTCTTTCTGTTTTCGGTGGTCTCTTTATTCCGTATTAGAGTGGAAGGTAAGTGCAACTGTAAAAGGTGGTGGTAAGATTTTCAAATTTACACCTGATGGATATTGAGCCCTGATTGATGGTAGGATTGGACACGATAGCGGAACAATGATGTGAAAAAATGACACAATTTGTTTTACGATTAATTTGGAAGGAAAGTCGTTTGGAATTCACCAGGATCGATGCCTGTAGCAGCGATAGCACGAGCCGAATAGCGTGGACGGAATTTGAATTGACAAAAAAATTCACAAATCATACAAGACTAAATGTGAATCGTAGCAGAGTGTTTATCAGATACGTTCTGTAAGGAAGGTCTCAATGGGGTTACATCGCACAGAATGCCTGGACATCATTAATTATTCATGAGCACGGAAAGGCTTAGCGCTTGAAGCACTTGAAAAGCCCAGAATAAAAGAAGACAGTACAGGGCCAAAACTAGTGAAGAAGCGTTGATGAAACTCGCTTTCTCAATTGCCAAAAAACAATAAGTGAGAAACCCAGGAGCGGTTTTTTGAAGAGGAAGGGTTTAACTTTAATTTAAGCTTAAAAATAGGAAGTTTGAGAAAGTATATGGACTATTCCTAAGCCTTTTAAAATGACGAAAAAAAGGACATTTTCGAGTATGAAGGCCGATTTCAAAAGCGATTTTGAAAGGGAAGCCTGAAATTTAAACCATGAAAGATATACATTTTGATAAATAAAAATTAAATGCTGAAACTTCATATTCATTATGCAAGAAACCCATGAGAGGCAAATGTAAGATGGAACTTTCCTGAAACAGAATCCGTTTTAACTTTGAAAACTGGTGAGCGACATTCAGTAAAAAGGCCAAATACTTTATCCGTCAAGTTTAAAAATTGACATTTTTTTTTTTTGTGGAAAGCCGATATGAGCCGTTAGCCGTAACTTGGCCAAAATTTCATCGTTAGCCGTAGAAGCCAAAAGTCGCCCCATTGAGACCATATCCAAGTGTCTGCGAGTCTTTACCTTTGGCCACTGTCTTTACATCTCACATGTACAAGTCGTCAGTCATCTCTTCCCAAATAGTTTTGGTATCATGATCACTAAAAGGAACTAAACAAATCAACTGTCTCAGGGAAATCCCGTAATTTCTTAGTGCCACGAAAATTAGGCAAACAAACAAACAAATGAATGAATAATCAGATATTAAACATTATATGAAATAAGTGAATTACTAGGTAGATATAGATGAATAAACAGCAAGATAGGTATGAATGAATTCCTCATAAAGTGTTACAGTCATATTAAACAAGCAGATGTTATGGACTCGGACGACATGCATGATAGCTAAACAGTTCAACTTGTGGCCTTTGTAACCTACGATTATCTTGAAGAGCTTTCTCGATAGCTGTCTTCGCCTCCTGATCAAAATCTGACCACATGTCACCTATAAAGCAGATTTATGTAAAAAAGGATGTCTATTGGCGCTTGGTATTTGTCACGTGAGTGCGAAAGGGGGAAAAATCTGAGAACCTTGCACCGATTGCAATCAGCAAACTGACCTCGTTGCCAAGTTAGGCCTTACTCCAAGGCTAACCTGTTTAAATGGTTAAAGGCTGATAGTTTCGAAAGAAACTGTTTGGGGCTGCGTCGGTGGGGGTAACGAAATAATTTGGATATATCAACAAAGTTGAAATGGTAAATTGGCCACCGTAACGATTACAAAAGCTGACGTTTCGAGCGTTAGCCCTTCGTCGGAGCGAATAGAGGAATTGTGGGTTGTGCGTGCTTTTAAAGGTGGAAAATGGTATCGGGTACATAAAGAAACCCCCAACTTCAAAACGATTTTACATTAGTTTTATATGGAGTTTTGAGTTGTAACGACTGTCCGCTCAAGTAAAACTGCACCCTGCTAGGCAGGGTGTATATTGGACAAATGAGTACCGAAGGATTGGATTGTATAGCAATCTCTCCAAAAAGTCATTCCACCTGTCAGGATTACCCTGCCTTCTCACGAGTAGGCGAGACAAGAACTTGTCCACCCGAGTTATCTCGACTCACGACTCACGAGACAAGTTCGCGATTTTCTTGTAAACAGATGGTTGAATTTTTCAAAGAAAAGAATTAAATTAGCTTAATCCGTCAGGGTAACTCAACGAGGCTGTATATTAGTTATTAATCGCAGCACGATCTTGGATGATAATGATGATATCTACTGAACACATCAGCACATTTTTCTTACCTTTTCTTGGCCGTCCTGTGAAAGCGAAACAAAACGAAAAGGTTTTTTTTCGTACGTGCAAATGCAAACTTATAACCAAAAAGCATCACGAAAGCAAAGCAATTCAATATAAATTACTAAAATAAATGAAATAGTACTACTAACTCCCAGCTCCACCACCAGGCAGCTCTCTCGTTATGTAGTTCTGCGCGACTGGATCTTTGATCAAAAACAGACTATGAGATGTTACGAAAACGTCGTGGTTATTCTTTACAATAAGGATGGAGATCCAGAATTATAATTTGTTTCTCGATCCAGTCATTTGAAGATGTGGATCGCGAAGTTCCAACTGCGCACTGCTTGTCACAGCTGGCCTAGAACAGTCAGGAGTGGAGGACCTTCGTTGCTTCCTTATATGCTGGCCGGCGTGTTGGCCTCTGAGTCAACTAATTGCTGGTCTTCTTCGCTCTGATTGCCCGCGGAAGACTAGCCGCTTGCAGTCAGAGCTTCGCGATCCACATTCACAAGTGACTGCGTCATACGTACGAAATACTTCAGGGAATAGTCACTATTTATATCAGGGAGAGGGGGCGGGATCGGTGGATTTTGGGGGAGATTACATTTTTTTCAAGGGGAACGGATCAGTCGTCGTTAGCAGGGTATGGAGGGGGAGGACTTTAGAAAATTGGCTGCCAATAAGGGGGGGAAACACCAGAATATTACAGTACTTTAGTGAGGATCAGGTGAATGTTATCTTGATACCCTCCCCCACAGTATGTGAGAAAGAAGTTTGCTACATCTGAGTATCCAAAGCGAGGAAAAACGTTAAATTTTGGCAACAAACAGTCAGAGTACTTTTCACTTTAAAAGTTCAATCAGTAGAACAGAGTATTTTATGTAAGCCACCTGTTTCGTCGCGTGAACTCAGCTCACTTTGTGGAATGATGTTAAAATCTGTCAAAAAAATACACTATTAGCATTAAATTTCATACAAGTAAATAAGTCGACCATTTTTTTTTTCCTGATGAGGTCATTTGTCAGGCTTCACTTGTCCATTGCTATATATCTTCCAGTTATATCAATATGAGAGGCGGCTGAAAAGGTATGTGGATGAAACTATAACTATGGGGCATCGGACTGAGTATTGCGGAAGAGCGATGGCACTTAATTATACTTCGAGTAAAAAACATGAAAAAAAGGTGAGCTAGAAGATTTGAATTTTATCTTGCCTTTTCTAGGTGTTCAGTTCACAAAAAAACAAAAACAAAAAAACAAAAAAACAAAAAAAAAAAAGAGCAAAATAGCGAACGGCGCGGTAGTCATGTAACAGTAGAGCAAAAACGAGGGAGGTCTGGGTCGGTTCATGTCCAGATTGTTTCTCAACTCGACCCAAACCTCCCACGTTATTTCACTCCTCCGCCAATTTGGCACCGTTAACTACCGCGCTTCGTTTTACTAACTTAAGAACAACAACAACAAAATCTATTCATTTTTAGCAATTTAAATGCATATCTAACAATCCCTACCCGCAAAATAGCGAACTAATCGAGGCTGGAGGGAATGCCCAGAACAGGCTAAATTGTTTCTATCTGTTGCTATTTAAAATCAATATCGAACAATCTTGTTTTATCAACTTCTATTTATCTTTATTTTCGACGCGACAAAACATACCCCTTCTTCCTCTTCTTGGCCCACCTGCGGGAAGAGGAGAAATAGATAAAAAATGGAAGTCATTTGATTTCAGAACAAAAACAGCAACTCCACCAATAATTTGACCACGAAAAAATAATAAAAAAAATTAATTTCTTACGCATGCCATTTCCTCCATTGAACTGTGGTCGACTAAAAAAATGCATATTTGGATCTAAAAAGAGCGTAAGAAATTACACACAATGTGGACGTCATATTCTAGACAGCTACACAGTTTACGAGTTATATAACAAGAACTGCATTCCCTAAAATATTACGGTTTTATCATTAGTTCAATAATTATATATAGGTGTGTCAATCAGAATATACATTTGAATTGTATGTATCGTGCACGTCATAAGACAATAATGGATGCTTTCAATTCTGCCGCACAAAGATAATAAAAATCGAAAAGGGATTATCGAGAAAGTTTTCATTTACTCGTCTAGGGCATGGTATAGTTACCTTCAGCATCATCAGAAGTAAGTTCACTCTGCGGCACTGATGCTATACCAGACTCTGCGGAAATAAATTTTCACCTATATTCGCGGTTGTCACGGTAGGATAAATTAAGACATGCCTTCATTCTAAGAAATCATACTCAAAATGAATGTTGATTTTGCAACTTCTTAAGCCTTTTTATGTGTATAAGATTAAAAATAAAATAATAGTTCCATGATACTTGAGATGCAAACCTCTCTTCCCTTTCCGTGGATGTACTGAAAAAATAAACGAAAGATTGTATTGTTATTTTTCACTCTTGAATCTCAGGAGTTTTATGCAAAAAACTTTTATCTATACTTACTGTGGCCAGTCTCTCCATCAGGCGGTTGGGGAGAGTCCCCAAGGAAATCTTGTGGAGCAGGAGCTTTGAGTGGAAAAGTAAACTTTAAGACAAGTGTGTCGTTCGAGTCAAGCTTACTCCAATTTTTTTAGCGTTACTACCAACTATTTTTTCAGGTATGTCATTCTATTTTGTTGTAACTCTCTTCACTGTAATTATAGGTAGTGGATGAACTATCTAAGCAGTGCTTAGTTCTACACGTTGGTAAAATAGTTTTGTTTTATGATCTTTAACTGAAGAGTTTTACTGTTCACGCTTGTGAAAAGAGATTGAGAAAAATTTTAAAGAATTCATTCGGTATATCTGTTAAAAACTTCACTGTCTTGTACACGTTTTGAGTAATAATCATCCCAAAGTTTAGATCTGGAATCTTTTAAAACTTTTGATAATAAAAATCAACGGTAAAACACGACGTTTGGACCGTGCTTCGGTCATTGTCAAGTAAATGTCGTGTTTTACCGTTGATTTTTATCGTCAAAAGTTTTAAGAAACCCTTGCTTATAATTCTTTTAAAAGGAATTGAAATTCTACATCGGTGAATACTCATGAATGGCATACGTACCCGCCAAGGAATTGGCGATGATAAGAATGATGCAGAACGCAAATATCAATGTCCTCATCATTTCGGGATTAACCTGTGAAACAAGACTGTATATATCATAAGCTACTATAACATCTAAGGTCAACTGCATCGATGTTTTAAAAGCGGACTCATATATTGCTACAACCGAAGTAATATAAAGTTAATGATCTTTCGACGTATATCAGTCCTTGAACTTGAAAATGGTGACTCATTCCGTGAGACAATCTACATCTGTTCGAACGTCCTAACTTTTAGCTATGGTGCACCAAAAGCGCTATATCTATTAAAAAAAAAAAAAGTACATGTCTTTTAATGTCTAAAGTAAAATTTCTTCAGGAACAAAGAAAGATCCTCGAATAAATCTTTGTCTGTATCTCGTTGAATATGCATGTATTCGTTTCAGAAGATCTGATATTTTCATTATGATAACCTGCTGTATTGGTAAAAGGGTAAAATATTGCCTTTACTCACTCAAGAGATATGAGGTATTCGGAAATGTGCATAATCACAAAACAAATTTACATAATTCCCAGGTGATTTCTAAAGCATTATTTATGGAAATTCTCTTGAAATGCTGAAACAAGCGTAAGATATTCTTCAGTGATTTTTTCCTGAGTATAAGTCCTGAACTTTCCGGATTTCCAGATTATTTAGAAACAAGTCAGGGAAAAAAATTAAAGTGGCCAAGTATTAATAAGAGTCTTTCAGCGCGCGACATATCTGATTTTTCAGACAATAATGTTTTTTTTTCTTATTCCTTCAGTTTTTTTTTTTTACCTATACAATAGGATCTCTTCCCTACGAGAGTTTTTGAGATCTGCACTCGATCCACGCTGTTATGCGTAGACTCCAGCTCTCAACTTCTGGAAGTGATCAATATAAAATTTCTTCTAGAAAAGTTTAATACGTTATCTAGCAGAAAGTAGAGGATGGGCAATTTTATCAGCTTAGAGCAGATTCTCTCTTTCAATAACGCTTTGATAGGAATATCTTGTGACGGTCTTGAATGGATCTTTCATGAGATCGTGAAATTTTAACTTCCAGGTTTGGGGATTTGCAGGTTGATTGACAATGTTTAAAACTAAAGCTCGCCCAGAATTTTGCTGCTCATCCCAAATCGATGAATCGAAACCTTGAAGGATTTCCCATATTGGTTTAAATGCTAGAAGACTTATAAGTAGCTCAACTACAAAATTTCATTGAAAAAATGGCCAATGAATCTTTGCTTTCTACAAATTGAAGAATTGATCTAGTTCATTTATCCGTTAATGCTCAAGAATGAATCTTTTACACAAGTAAAAACTGAATAAAATTTACGTGGTACGTTTCTTTCGGAAAATCAGCGGGGCAGCTGAGTTGTGACCTTGAAGATTAATTCATAATTTATTTTAGCAATGTTTTGACTTGATAATTGACTTGAGGGCTGGATAACAACGCTCAGACCGAGTTACCTACTTCAGCGCGAATGAAACACCGTTGATAATACATGTGAAAGCTATGTAAGATTACTGTTAATTTCTCCTACCTTATCTTTATGTGATGCAGAGCGGAGCGTCTGAAGTGAGCACTGCGAATAGCTCTCAATAAATGGTCTCCGTTCATTTTAAATGTGTCAGCCTCTCTAATGTGTCCCCAGGCTATTCCTGTTTAATCAAGGATATTACTTTTTCTCGCTGCATTAAAGGGAAAGCCTCGCGTCTTTTATGAAAATTAAATAGTGACAGATTAGCAGGAAATGAGGAATTATTCTAAGAACGGTTTTCTTGATACTGCTTAATGGAAAGTCATATTGTAGTGGCTAAAAGGCTGATCAAATGAATTGGATGGAATTCCGTTTAGCACTGAAAAGAAAAGCATGAAAGGCGCCGAAACTTGCTCATGACGGAGTAAGAAGGAACCAGAACAAAAAAAAAACGAAAAAGAAAAAACAAACAAATATACACAAGCTGAGCTATGAAAAGAATATATTTTCCTATTTTGGTTTATTTTTTTTTTTTTTTTTTTTTTTTTTTTTCAAGTGTTTAGCTAAGACGAGATTTTTAAAAATTTTCGATTCAATTCTGGTATGCTAAAGAAATGAAAGTGTAACTGGCAGGCAAATGTCTTCAAGTAAAGAAGTCTGCTTTAATTTGAATTAGCAGCTTATGTCTCAGCTGTATCGAATATTATCAAGTATTGTAAAAAGATTATTAAAGAGTCAAATATTTCATAAGTCTGCAGATATGAATTTGTCCTAATTAACAGTGAAATGGGTATGTGTGATGCTTTCAATTCAGAACCAGAATAGGCTTAAAAATATATCCTTTCTATAATTTTGTAAGCTCAAGTTAAATTTGCAATAGGTTGGAAGTTTTTTGCAAATTTCAATGAATTCGTCCTTCAGCTGAAAGAAATTACTTTTCTCTTTCACGTCATTTATGAAAAGCAATCAGTTATATCATAGTTAATAGAGGGGAACTTTTAACTATGGTTATATTTTACTCTTCATATGGATAGAAACCCTTACCCTTGACCTTGTGAACCTTTAGCATGATTTGTACTCTTTAGGAGCAGAGTAATACTGGCTTCTCGTGGATGTTGAAATGTTTCATATAAAACTCTAGTTACATTTTCTCAATTTGTTCCGTAACTTATAACATTTATAAAAGTCGCAGTTTGTTTAGTTTGGCAGAAAAAGCAATCTTTATCATGTATCCAATGTTTAGCATTATTTATTATCAAATTTTATTGAAATCATGCTAATTCTTAAGTTTATTTGCTTCATAAGTATTTTGAAAAAGAAAGAAAACTACAAGCAAGATGCCAAAAAAATTCAAGTCAAGTTCATTTTATTCAAAAGAAAAAGAGAAAATCCCATCATCCTCATTTCAATTAAATCAGAAAAAATATGGTTACAACATGGCCAGTCTTCCGCACCAAATTCAGCCTAAGACCTGAAAGAGGAATTTATATTCGAAGCGTGGATAGCGCTATGCATTACCTGTGAAGGATAGAACGGTACGTTTTGCTAAAACGGAATACTTATCCGCTAGGTAGCGATTTATCTATCCTTTGAATAGCGTTCAGTCCGCCCTTTGAACAACTAGGCCTGGCAAGATTATTGAAATAGGAAGAAGTTAGAATTTCAAAAAACCATTAAACGCCCTTAAACGCTTAAGCGGTTTGCTTTTATTACGCGTTAACCGAGAAAATCGTTCCAATTTATCCAATCTGTACGGAATCGGACTCTTTATACCTCAAGAGTACTCAATTCAATACGCAAAAACAGTAAGCAAGCATTTTATTCTGCATCAGTAAATTAACATTTAGATCTTGCAAATAACTAAAATCTAAAACATTTCTTCACTTGGCTTGTTTGCCTTCTCTTCTTTATTCCTGGTAAAATGATGGCTCAGCGCCTGCAGTCAGATAAACATACGCATTGTCATTGTGGTGAGTATGATGGGAGAAAACCCTAAACATGAGCGGAAATGAATGGAACCTTTTTATGTCGTGACAACTGTTAATTCGTTGCTCGACAAGGACCATTAATTTAATGTAAATCAAAAGCAGATTGGGTAGGAAAGGCGCAAAATATTTCAAGAAGTTCCCCTCACACGCATAAAAATATAAATAATAAAACATTTAATTTCTCCTTACAATATCACCCCTGAATCATACATTAAGATCACGAGAATTGAAGAGTAACTCAGTATTAGCCCAATGGATAGTGCGCTGGACTGTTGTGCGGGAGGTCGAGGGTTCAAGCCCCGGCCGGACCAACACTCAAGGTCTTAAAATAATTGAGAAGAATTTGCTACCTTTCTATAACATCAAGAAATGGTTTTATGAACATGAAAATTCTCCCTATGATGTCCGTACATCGTCCAACAAAAAGGTAACGAGAATACTCGAGCGTATCAGGTAGAAGTTTTTATCTGGATCTAACAGCAAATTCTTGTAACTTATTTAGAAGGAAATGTTTAGCAGTTACAGGGGAGAATTTACATTATGTACCATCGCCTCTACAGTTATTTGGAAGAATTAAAAATACTTTATCCACTTCAGTTTGGTTTCAGAGAAAAATGTTCGACTGCCCATGCTCTTATTTCTATCACTGAATCGATTCGGTAATAATGAATTTGGTAATAATGAATTTGGTTGTGGTATATTTATAGACCTGAAAAAAGCATTTGATACTGTTAATCATACAATCCTATTAACTAAGCTTAACCATTATGGAATAAGAGGTGTTGTGCTTGATTGGTTTAAATCTTACTTATTCTAAAGAGAACAATTTGTAAATGTTAATGGTCTAACTCACCTTCATTACACGTGACTTGTGGTGTCCCACAAGGATCTACTTTAGGACCCCTTTTATTCTTATCATATGTAAATGATTTGCCCAATACTTCTAGCTTACTAACATTTCATCTATTTGCTGATGATACTAACATTTATTTTTCTAGCAAAAACCTTAGTCACCTTGAAACAACCCTAAATCGTGAACTATAATCTGTTGCTGAATGGATGAAAGGTAATGGATTAGCACTTAGTATCTCTAACTTCCTAACTTTATTCTTTTTCATTCCAGTAAACCTAAACCCAATCAGTCATTAAGAATTACAATTGATGATGTACTTGTTAAAAAAATTGACTCCACTAAGTACCTAGGGATAACATTTGATTGTAACTTAACATGGGAAGGTCATATTAATGAGCTTTGTTTGAAACTATCCAAAACTGTAGGTATCTTGTCTAAAGTGAGACACTTTGTCAACAAAGATATTCTTGTCATGCTTTATTACTCCCTTATCTATCCATTCCTCACTTATGGCGTCCATATCTGGAGTTTAACCTTTCCCTCATTTCTAACACAATTATCTATTATCCAAAAAAAAGCAATCAGAATAAGATCTTTCTCTGGACCAAAATCCCATTCTGAGCCTCTGTTTAAATCCCTCAATCTTCTTAAGCTCAATGATGTTATTGAATTACAGATTCTCTCTTTTGTTTATCAGTGGTCACATAGACTGTTACCCCCTTGTTTCGGTAAATATTTCAAATTTACATCTTTTGTTCATTCCTATTCAACGAGGCAATCATGTAACAGAAATCTTTATGTAGCCTCAGTTAATACTACTCAATATGGCCTACGGTCTCTAAAATTCACTGGCCCTCGCCTTTAGAATTCCTTACCTACAAGTATAACTAATTCAAATTCTCTTAGAATATTTCGTAAAACCCTGAAGACCTTTATACTTAATTTTTACTCTTTTTAATTATCTACCTTAGTGCCTGAAGTAATACTTTTTATATAAAAAAAAAGGAAAAAAAAAGCCATTCTTATTTTTGCCCTTAACTGTATCTTTTAATTAGGGGTCATCCACTAGATTAGCCTTTGCTATTTGGATGATCATAACTCGCTACCTCTTTTATTGCTAAATTTTTTCTCTTTATTCCATTGCTGTACTGTGTTTATTTGCTATGTAAATTTAATTAACCTATATATCTTGTAAAACCGAGCTGAGTTAAATAGATCATCATCATCATTTACAATCAGATCTTGGGAGTGAAAGAGTTAAGTTCTCTTGACAATGGTCCCTTAAACATCTTTTCACGAGGATGTAGGTCTCACCTGCCGAATGCCTTTGGAGCGTCTTGGATTATCTTTTTGAGAATTGTTTTGTCTGAAAAAAAAATGAACAAAATAATTGATGTAATTATTCGGGACACAATCGTTCTCTGTTCCAGTTATGCCATCGACGAAAACCATTGAGGTGAAAAAATTAATGTCCCCAGTATTAACTGGTCGTTTTTCCTTCCGGATTTGAGTTATTTTCTGGCTTTTAACTATTTTATCTATTTATTTCTTTTTTTAAATTTTACCTTTTACATTTTACATTTTGGTAGTATTTAGAATTATACTTGTAACTCGAAGATACTAGCTTATCTTTTAGCTACTCCAAAT